CTGAACCATTGCTTTTTTATGGGTTGGATCCTTTTTTCCTTTCTCAAATAGAGAATCTCTAATGCGCATCAGCATTACCTCTTGCAATTGCGAAATACTCGAGACATATTTCGTTTTTGCTTAGCACGTGGAAGAATTGGCCTAGACTTTTGAGTACGCCCTTTTCGATCTTATGGACAAATACCAATGTCTGCGGTCTAATGTCCCCGTCCTAATGTCTGCGGTCTACTTCTTTTGCGGTCTATTGTCTTGCTACATAGCCGGAGGTCGGGTGTTCGAACCTGGGCTGGGGCAAGAATGTTTCATCTGTGGCAGAGATGGGCATTCCCTTAGATCAGTTTCGAGCATTCTGTCGGATACTACGAATTCGGTTTTCCTGCAGTTTTAGTAATTTGTAAGGTAAATACCGGAGTAGTATAGAACAACTTAAGACCTTCTGCAGGGGCACCTTTTAAAAAGCATTATTCGCGTCACTCTGTAATTGGGCGAGAGCCCGAAAGCGTGTTGAGGGAAGGAGGGAAAATAAATAAATAAACATTTTGAGCTCCTGGAAAACATGTTTACATACTTCTGCGCCCTATATATAAGTGAAATTGAGATATACAGGATGTTGAAATGTTTTTATTTACTCTATTTTTGGTCTTATTTTAAGTGGTTACAGTCAGTCAATGCTGCGTTACCAACTCAACCCACGCACATGCCCGAACCCGGATTCGCACCAGGGACTCTTAGTGTCGCAGTCGCTCTTCCACGCCATTGTGCTCGGCATATTTAGCATCATGCCGTAGGAGACGAAGAAACAAGGATTTAGCTTTCGGAGGAAGGTACAAAAAGTATGACTCCTCTCTCTTAGATCTTGCCTTATAGATGGCTTACGAGAGAGAGAGAATGAAAAAAAAAATGCATTTTTAAGAGTACTTTTTTAGTTATTTTTTTCAAAAGGGGGGCGAACCCACATGGCAATCCTCCCCTCGATTTGAATTTTCAAGTCGATATTTTCATTTCGCACATTGAACCTGGCGCTCTTATTTCCATTCCATCTGCACCCGGCGGATGGTTTGGTGCACCTTGACGGGTGATGGCGGTAACGGGTTCGGTCTTTAGACTGAGGAACGCTGAAGAGATTAAAAAATCCAGGCTAAATCACACTAAAGAACGCTACTGGGTCTTGACCTGAGAGAACGAGGTAAGACTGACAACTTCCACTTGGGCGTCGCCTTATAAAGCCGCCGCGCATGCGCGCTGTTGTGTGAGAGTTCTCATTTTTACAACAGATGGTGAGCGCGTGCGTGATATTGTGTGACGTCACAGCATTTACGCCAGTATTTGATTAAGGTAGCAGACTTGTCTGCCATTTTGGAGCCCACTGACAGCCCAAATCTGTGGTCAAAAAAACTGTTTAAGGTGTAATGTAAAGTCTTACCTTAAATAAACTTTAAAAAATCAATGGTTTTTCTTTAAATGATAAGACAATACATGCGAGACTTGCCACATTTTGCGAGCGTTAATTGTCAGTGGCCTCCAAAATGTCGGACGAGCTGTGTAATATTTAGAAGCTATAGCGTTGATGACGGATGGCGAGCGCATGCGATGTTACGTGACGTCACAGTGTTTATATACACTGTCCAAGATAAAAGAAGAAAAAGCACTTTCTCATTGCCACTTTTTGAGCTCTACAAGACAGCGTTAAGAGATTTTTAATACAACGTTTCGTTTCGGACAAATCATCATAAACTCAGACTGATATCAAGAGCGCAAAAGTGCACTTTTTATTTTTTTAAAGTGAAAGTGCACTAAAAAACAAAAGTTGCAAACTGTTGGTTTCAACAGGATGGTGCATTCGCGCACATCAGCTTAAATGTCCTTGATCGGACACACTTATTTTCCATTTTCCCGGAAATTTCTCAATAGGTATTCTCGCACGATTATGCCGTTGTGCGCGAGTGCACCATCCTGTTGAAATCAACAGTTTCCAACTTTTGTTTTTTTTGTGTGTCCTATACATCGTTGTATTCGTATTCAAAAATGCTACTCAATACAGTGTATACTTTTTTTACGGACTATATAAAACAATATACTTGATAATGATTAACGTTCTTATAGAGCTCAGAGAGAGAATTTTGAATCGCGGCCCTTAAATATTGAACCTAAATCCGTGAAATTTGAACTTTAATTGGCAACATTGAATATTGAAGCCGAAATGTTAATTTCGTAAATGATCCTTGTCGTTAATTTTTAGTCTGACGCCTGAATTATGAATCCTGGCCTTTAAGTATTGAACCTAAATGCGTGAAATTTGAACTTCTTTGGCAACATTGAATATTGAAGTCGAAATGTTAATTTCGTAAATGACCCTTCTCGTTAATTTTTAGTCTGACGCCTGAATTTTGAATCGTGACTCTTATATATGAACCTAAATGCGTGAAATTTGAATTTCAACTGTCAGCATTGAATTTTGAAGTCGAAATGTTAATTTCAAAAATGAACCTTGGCGTTAATTTTTAGTCTGACGACTAAATTTTGAATCGTGACCCTTAAATATTCAACCTAAATGCGTGAAATTTGAATCTTAATTGGCACCATGGAATATTTAAGTCGAAATGTTGATTTCGTAAATGACCCTTCTCGTTAATTTTTAATCTGACGCCTGAATTTTGAATCGTGACTCTTATATATGAACCTAAATGTGTGAAATTTGAATTTCAACTGTCAGCATTGAATTTTGAAGTCGAAATGTTACTTTCAAAAATGAACCTTGTCGTTAATTTTTAGTCTGACGCCTGAATTTTGAATCTTGGCCCTTAAATATTGAACCTAAATGCGTGAAATTTGAATCTTAATGGCAACATTGAATATTTAAGTCCAAATGTTAATTTCGTAAATGACCCTTCTCGTTAATTTTTAGTCTGGCGCCTGAATTTTGAATCGTGACCCTTAAATATTCAACCTAAAGGCGTGAAATTTGAATCTTAATTGGCAATAATTGAATTTTGAAGTCGAAATGTTAATTTCAAAAATGAATCTTGTCGTTAATTTTTAGTCTGACGCCTGAATTTTGAATCGTTGCCCTTAAATATTCAACCTAAATGCGTGAAATTTGAATCTTAATTGGCAACATTGAATATTTAAGTCGAAATGTTAATTTCGTAAATGACCCTTCTCGTTAATTTTTAGTCTGACGCCTGAATTTTGAATCGTGACTCATATACCTATGAACCTAAATGCGTGAAATTTGAATTTCAACTGTCAGCATTGAATTTTGAAGTCGAAATGTTAATTTCAAAAATGAACCTTGTCGTTAATTTTTAGTCTGACGCCTGAATTTTGAATCTTAATTGGCAACATTGAATATTTAAGTCGAAATTTTAATTTCGTAAATGAATCTTGTCGTTAATTTTTAGTTTGACGTCAGAATTTTCAGTCTTGGTCCTTAAATATTGAATCTAAATCCGTGAAATTTGAAATTCAACCGTCAACATTGGGTATAGAAGTCGCAATTTTAACTTCGTGAGTGAACCTTGTCGTTGATCTTTAATTTGACACGTGAATCTTGAATATTGATAATTAAATATTGAACCTAAATGCGTGAAATAAAAATATCAACGGTCAATATTAAATAATGAAATCGAGACACTTCAGTTTCTAGAGCCAGGTTGGTTTCTAAGCGCCAAAAGTCTCCCGAATGCTTTAAATGAAGACTGTGAAAAGCACTCGAAGGCTATGGAAAGTCTTCTAGGTTTTTTTAAGTCTGATAAGTGCTTCCCAGAGCTTTCTTGTGTGGAAGAGCAATAGAATGCATTGGAGAGGTAGGTTCATAACGTTGTGAGGGAGGAAGCTCCGTTTATGTTACCATCAGAAATCGGACCTTTTCTGATTTTGTTGTCCTTATTTTGATTTGTTTAATATTGGCCAGTTCCTTCGATGCTTAAACTCTTTTAGTGTGATTGGCGACTTTAATTCTTTGTGTTATGAATCGGTCTTTTTTAATGTCTTTCACTGCAGAAGTGTTAAAATTACTTAGCGGCATTCATCTCGAAATGCAACTTCAGTCTAAGGTTACCGTATCCAGGACCTCCACATACCGTTTGGATTGGAGAAGGTCCCGCTAATTAACAAACTATTTCATTTACTTTATGTAAGAGACTTCGGAATTTTATTTTTCACAAATGAGAAAGGAGTGGAATTGCTTTTAAATCTATTTGAGTTGGCTACTTTTGAGCATATCAAATTTTGTATTAGATTAAGTCAGATTTAAATTATTCAAATTCAAGAGTTACTTCCTCGCATTGTTAATTTTTGTATATTGCAGATAGTGCTCCAGTTTTTTCAGCTATATTTACCCTCCGTAAACAATGATTCAGAATTGTCTTCGGGCTGTAATTGTTAACTGTAAAACTGTAAAAAAAGCAGGTGCATTGCCCTTCGTAAATAAAACATTACTCTTTTTTACGTTTTATCTCTTCCTTTAGTAACGGAAAATATGAAAATAATTAATAGAAGCATACCATTGAAGGAGTTCGGCAATTTTTTTTAGAATTTTATATAAACGAACTAAATTGTTTGTACATTTTTGCCGGGACCCCTATTTAAGTCGGGGCCCGTCCTCATTGCGTACCTTTAAGGTATTGTAGTTACGCCACTGGTTACGACCGAACACCTCGATCGTCTAATCGTCCTAAATATTGCAAAAACTGCCCAAGGAAACAACGTACTACTCAAGTTATACGATTTAATGATATGAGTCATCGTCAACTTGACCACTTCATCATTGCTTTCAAAAAAATCGTAGCACTCGCGCAAGTGCTTAAAGGGAGGAAATTTATGTTTATTTACAACGTTTATTATCTTTAAATCAAAATCAAACTTCTCAAGTGTTTCCACTTTCAAGTAATAGCTACCATACAAGATTGTAAACACTTGAGCTTGATCATTGTGAAGTGTGACACCTACTTACGTGCTCTTTAAACACATAAATCATTGAAATATATTTTTCTTTTCAGATTCTCCGCATCATATAGCGAGTGCGTGGGCTGGCCATGCGCCTCGGCCTGGTTCTGCTGGTCGCGCTGTTGCTTCCTATCACATCGAATGCAAACTTCTCAAAGCCATCCATCGAAGATGAATCCTCGCAGCAACCCTACTCGACCGCCATCAGCTCAAACTCCGTCCACTCCTTCAATTCCAAGCCTACCAGCACGACCAGCAAAGCGCGTTATTCGAGTAACTCCATATCCTACAAAGACAAGTTTAGCCTCGATCCGAATGGAACTGCCACGAACTACATCAACGGCGATACGAACGTTTACGACAAATCGCGATACGTCACCGAGAAGATACCGACGAGCAGAAGTCTTCAGAAGGATCCCGACGGTAAACGCAAGAAGCTCACCGTCGGATATCTCACGGCGGTCAGAGGGGAACTTAAGGAGAGACAGGGTTTGGCGATTTCGGGAGCGCTTACGATGGCACTCGAGGAGGTAAGTCTACAGAGCTTCTCCACAACACTTCTCATTCTCTCCCCACTCTCCAGATTAATAACGATTCCAGCATTTTACCAAACGTGACCTTAGTGTTAAAATGGAACGATACAAGAGGCGATACGGTACTGACGACTCGTTCCATGGTCGATATGATTTGCGACGGCGTTGCCGTGTTTTTCGGGCCGGAAGGTTCGTGTTACGTCGAAGCGATCGTGGCGCAATCTAGAAATATTCCCATGATTAGTTATGTTCGTTAGTCTTAGTTTCGTTTGTTCTTCTTTAGTTTTGGTTTCTTTTAGAAATGTTCGGATTACAAAGCATCCAGTATACCAACGTTTGCCAGAACTGAACCACCTGATACACAAGTAAGTTGACAGTATTGCATAAGTGTTTCCTTATTCAATGTTCAAAAGCGTTGGGAGTATAATGGTGTGGTTTCAGGTGACAAAATCTGTGATATCTCTTTTAAGCTATTATGGATGGAATAAGTTTTCTATAATATACGAGGAGAATTGGGAAACGGTTGCGTATTCGTTAATCGATCAGGCTAAACAAAGAAATATGACCATAAATAATAAAAAGAGCGCCGTGGACCGACACAAGTGTTGCGAGGAGAAAATGGCGTGCTGCTCGACCGGTTACTGGTACCAGTTTATTCAGGAGACGAAAAATAAGACGCGCAGTAAGTGAGGGACGAGGAAAAAAGCGAGTAACGCGAACAATGCTTTCAGTTTACGTTTTTTTGGGATCGGCGTTCTCCCTTATCGATCTAATGAGCACAATGCAAACCGCTCAGTTGTTCGACAACGGCGAATACATAGTGATCTCCGTGGATCCGATGAACACGTATTCGGCGAAAGACGCGCACAAGTACTTGTGGAGTAAGACTTAACTACAAGTTGGCCTCAACCTCCATTGAACCATTTTTAGATACACACGTGTTTGACAAGTACACGTCGTGTGAAAGATACCAGAAAGATTTCTTGAAGTGGGCTCGATCGCTACTCGTCGTCGTGTCAACGCAACCGTCGCACAATTACGAACAGTTCACGAAATCCGTACGAGAGTACAACGCCAAGGAACCATTTAAATTCAACGTTTCGCCTTTCTTAACGAGTTACAATTTTCAGAAGTTTGTCTCGATACACGCCGCTTACTTGTACGATTCCGTAAAGTTGTACGCGAAAGCCTTAGATAAACTTCTGCGCGAGCAACCATTCCTTAACGACACCATTGTGGATGAAATTGCGAGTAATGGAACAAAAATTATCGAAGCCGTCATAGGACTCGGTCCATACACAAGTAAGTTCACTCTTCAAATTGTCTTCATTTTAAGTGCGAGTGAGATCATACATGTGCCATTCCCACAAACTTTCTGGTATTATCTGGGGGTTTTCGGTATTAGTAGTCGAAAACTTGTACCGGTGGTCGCTTTCGAATTTGTATTTTATTCAACATAGGAAGATTTACACATATACCGCTCCTTAGCGAACGTGAACAAAAGTGTGCCTGGTAATAAAAAGCGATAACAACGCGTGCATTTGCGATAAAGATGTGCATTTTGGAGATAAAACGTTGGTTAAACGAGATTAAACCTTCAAAGAAAGGAGGAGGTAGAACTTAATAGCTATGTTTCATGCTCGTATAGCAAACATCTGGGGGAATAAGTAGGTGGGAGTTTGTCGTAGGCTAGTAATGTAAGTCGGAGTATTTTGGAAGAATACTGACATCATTATGAATGGAAAGGATCGTCAGGAGAAAATACAAATTCAAAACCAAATTTTTGACAACAGTCAAGCGATCCCCCGTTACAGTACCCCTCCGGTTTTTTAAAACGAAGCAGTTGCGATTTGAATAACTACACAACGAACGGTAGCTTTGTCCTTAGTTAACTGACCTAACCAAAATAATTTCTAAACTGACTGACAAATCCTAACAAACTAAGAAACTCTAAACCTATTCCAAAAAGACTCTTCACTTCTAACCTTATCTTCTTTTAACTTCATTATACAGGGTGTTTTTTTGGGAGCTTTAGTTAAACGTTTCTGGGAAAGTAAAATAGGTAGGTTTTTGAACATTTGTACTTAGGAGTTACTCAGAAGGCCGAATCGATGTAAAATATTTTCAAAATGCCCGCACTTCCGGAAACACCGGAAGTAGATAGTCACTTCGTTATTTTAAATAGCAACCCCTATTTTTTATTGGTATTTTGGATTCTACGTGAAATTTCAGTCATTTGATACACATATGTCATATCTGCCATTTATGGTTTTTAAGTTATTTTGACTTGAAGAAAGAAAATGGCGGATGCAGATGGTACCTTGATAATTGATTACTTGAAAACGGTTGTAGTCATGGCAACCCATTTTTATCAGTGCATAGAGAATGAATAGGGCTTTCTTTTAGTGTAGGTACTTAAAAAAAGTTAAGTTGCGTACGAGAAAGAAACTTCAAAGTCTATAAACTCAGTTTTTTTTAAATGGAATGACCATGTTCTTACTACTGCATGAGAATGAGATAGAGAATCGAAATTGGCATATTTTGATATTACATGTTCCTATAGCTATCTTTAACAGTTTCTGATTTATTCCCATTACATTGAATTGATACCATTTTTTTTCACATTTTCTTTTTAGTAGTTGGCCATGATTTTATAACAATCGAATTTTAAACAAATCAAGGAAAGGATTCTTTAATATCTTTGATTCTAGTCTAAATAATTCATTATTAAATAAGTAGTTTGTTAAGGATATAGGACGGAAAATTTTTGAGAAATCTAGACAGAGTCGTTCAACTGAATTTCTTAAACAACGTATAAGTCTGGAAATTCAGAGAAGTAATGCGATGCAACAATTCCATAACCAAAAATGTTTCAACGAAGTTTTTTATATTTTGCATTGAATTTATTTTGTTAATCTTGCATTTGCAATTCAATTCATTTTCATAAATATTCTCTTGTAGAGCTTTGTATCACTTGTGATTCAACGGTTTGTAGTGCATTTGAAGGTACAAAATTTCCAAAATTCATACAATTTCGTTCCAGTGTTCGAATAAATGTATGTACGGCAAGCACATGCCGCGATTCTGTCCATTTCACCATAAATATCAATTAAATTCCAAAATAGGTGAAACCACTGCGAGTCATTTTTCGATTTTTGAAAAACTTATGTTAACCTATAACAGTAGGTGACGGATCAGTGTCACTAGATTTGTTTAAAATTCGATTGTTATAAAATCATGGCCGACTACTAAAAAGAAAATCCGAAAAAAAATAGTGTCAATTCAATAAAATGGGAATAAGTCAGAAACTGTTAAAGATAGCTATCGGAACATGTATTGTCAAAATATGCCCATTTCGATTCTTTATCTCATACAATAGTAAGGAAATGGTCATTCCATTAAAAAAGCTGAGTTTTTAGTCTTTGAAGTTTCATAAATTTGGATCTCGATAGGGGCGGTCGTACGCAACTTAACTTTTTTTTAAGTTCAATAAAAGAAAGCCCTATTCATTCTCTATGCACTGATAAAAATAGGTTGCCATGACTACAACCGTTTTCAAGTAATCAATTATCAAGGTACCATCTGCAGCCGCAAGTCAAAATAACTTAAAAACCATAAATGGCAGATATCGATATGCGGGTATCAAAAGAACTGAAATTTCACGTAGAATCCAAAAATCCATTTAAAAAATAGGGGTTGCTATTTAAAATAACGAAGTTACTATCTACTTCCGGCATTTCCGGAAGTGCGGTCATTTTGAAAATATTTTACATCGATTCGGTCTTCATAGTAACTCCTAAGTACAAATTTTCAAAAACCTACATATTTTACTTTCCCAGAAACGTTTAAAGCTCCCAAAAAAACACCCTGTATATATACCCTCGGACCTAGCTTCATTTATGATCTTCAATAAACGTCACTTACCTTTTACTAGCATTGGAATTGGACAAGTGAGCTATTTCTTCTTTTTCATCTTTTTTTTTTTCAATTTTGAAACTTTCTTCTTGTATCCTTCTTCATATATTTCTTTCATTTTGACACTCTTCCAGTTCTTCAATCCTTTGTCTTCATGACTTTTCGTCATAGGTATTTTTAGTTATTTTTCTCTGTAATTGTCCTCTGCTGTAAAAATGTTATAATATAATTCTTCTTTTCTAGGTTACTTCTATTTTTCTTATTAACCTCTTACGGATTTGACAATTTTGTTACTTCGCCAATTTCTCTCCTATTTCCAATAACTTCGAGTATTCTACTGATTATGTTTCCTTTTGACTGGTCATCTTCATTTAACTTTAGTTTATCTTCTTTAATCTTTACTTCTTGTAACTTCTTATACCACAATGAAAGTGTTTCTTCTTGATTATTCAAATGTTCTCGAACCAAAATAGCGATTCTCTCTTCTTCTTTAGTTTCAAAGTGAAATCTTGTGCTCTAATCTTCTTGAGCTTTGATTATCTTTTTGTTGGATACCACCGCTCTGTTTTTCCAAATCCTATCTTCTTTAGCTTCCTCTCCTATCCCCCTACCTCATCCAAGCTCTCTAAAATCACCTTTTACTTCATTTTCTTCGATTTCTTCTTTTTTGTCACTTTTGGTTTCTTCAATTTTAATTTGTTTTATTTCTCTTCATTCTTTTTCAATTGTTTTCGTTTCTTGTCTTGTTAATAACAGTCTTTTTAATAAAATGAATTAAGTCCCGGCATCCATTAATCTTCTGAAGGACTAGTGGAGCCCCATCATTTGATAAATTTAACCCCCTCCAATCATTTTATTGGACTCTTCTTTTTCTTGCATCCCTTCTCATATAGTTCATCTGCCTTCAGTTATTTCTTTCATTATCATCTCCTCTTGCTTCATTACTTCTTTCAGTCTTTTTTCTTTATTTTCTACTTGAATCATTTCAAAAACCTTTGTCAACTAGGATATTGTGGTTATTACTCTCGATCTTATTACCATATTCTCCTCTTACCTAGAGAGGTGACGGGATAGTGCGTCGACCAATTGAGCTCCTCGTATCGGCGGCTGTAAGTTGATTTAATTTTTTTTAAAGCTTCTTGAAACCTGACTGTAATTCCATGTACAATTTACCAAAAATCTACCTTGGTATCGTCCTAAATTCAAAAAATCTTTAAGAATATCCATCCTAACTTGCAGTAATTTTAAAAATTCTTAAACCCCTTTTCTAAAATAATTTACTCCGTCACTGGTAGCGATATCTTCAATCTCTTCTGCGATTACTTTTTTGTAATATTTATTTTTCGCTAAGTCTTTAACGGCTAATTAACCGATCGTATGCGCGCAACTAAAAAAATTTGCGTTTAAATTCAAATTCGCGTACGTGAATCCATTTTTGGTTTTTATTTTGAATCTCGATTATCACGTTGAGTTTTAATATCAGTTTGTTACTCGCGGTGTGGTTTTAAAATCAGTTCTCCGACTGGAAAATGTTCCTTCGTGAAAATTTTATCGGTATTAAATAAACGCCCGTATTACGAATCAGGCTGCTGAAAAGTTCTTCGTTCCGGAATTTACTGTAATTCGTCTACATTGCAGTTAACTCGCAATTTCTCGCAAGCCCGATTTTGCTTAAACTTTTCTCTATGACCTAGTCTTCTGAGTTCTTCTATTTTATTGTTGGACTTTATTTTTAAGTGGGCGGGGTTTTCAAATCCTCCACTCTCCCGCTTCTTTACCTATTTGAAATCTCACCCACGGGAAAACCGAAAGGGGAATTATTTCTGAACGCAAATGATCTCAACTGACGTGCTCTAGCAACCAATAGAAAAACCGCATCTCCGTCACGTGCTCAGAACAGAACGAAACTTTAGGTCCCAGGAGACCGTGGTAACCGCAATAAGCTTTTGTTATCCCCAGACATACTTTCATTCGGGTTCGCTATGAAGCGGTACATGTGGAATTTTCCTTATGTTGACAAAACCAAATGGACCAGTACAATTTCGTCACTGGAGTCAATTCCTTTGGTATTTATTCATTTGAGATTGGAATTACTTTATTGGCACATGTATTTCCCTCTAGCAAGACTACAAACCAAACATCGAATATTGGTTAATTGAAGAGAATTTGCAGGTATAACCGGAGCGACAATGCAACTGGATAAAAACGGCGACTCCGAGGGTAATTTTTCCGTGTTGGCCCTAAAACCGAGCGACACGCCCGACATGCCGATCGTTAAAAATTTCACCTGCAACTACCAAATGGTGCCGGTCGGTCAGTTTCGCGAGGGCGGCGAGTTTCCAGTAAGTGTTTCACGTATAGTGTCGACATACTCGAACTGAATACCTTTGTCGGTAGAGTTATAAGATACATCGACAAGTCGATTGGCCAGGTGGCGTGATACCCGCCGACGAGCCGAGTTGCGGCTTCGAGAACGAACTGTGCGCGAAGCCGGACACGCAAGTGAACAGTATAATTGCGGGAATTTTGGCGGTCATGTTGTTTTGTGCCGGAGTTATTACGATTAGTGTTTATCGTAAGTGGAAGATCGAGCAGGAGATCGAGGGGCTGCTTTGGAAAATTGACTCGGCTGATATCCATAACTATTACGATAACGATATTGTAGCGTCGCCGAGTAGAGTGAGTATTTCAATTCCTGCTCAAATGAGAATGAAAGAATTTGTTTGTAGTTGAGTTTGTGCAGCGCGAGCGCCACTTCGTTCGAATCGCGCGGCGGCGCCCAAGTGTTCGCAACTACCGCACTGTACAAGGGCGTCGTCGTTCGGATCAAAGAGTTGACGTTCTCGAGAAAAAAGGACATTTCTCGTGATATGATGAAAGAAATGAGGCTTCTGCGTGAATTGAGACATGATAATATTAATTCGTTCATAGGTGCATGCGTGGAACCTATGGCACTCTTACTAGTCACTGATTACTGTGCCAAAGGAAGTTTATATGTAAGTGATACGTCCTAGGGGGGAAACAACTTTGAATTTATGGTGTACACCCCTCTGAATTAATTTGAATTAACGTGAATTAATTTGAGTTAACGTGAATTAATTTGAGCTAACGTTAATTAATGTGAATTAACGTGAATTAATTTGAATTACCGTGAATTAATGTGAATTAATTTGGCTTAACGTGAATTAATTTGAATTAACGTGAATTAATGCGAATTAACGTGAATTAATGCGAATTAACGTGACTTAATTAGAATTAACGTGAATTAATTTCAATTAACGTGAATTAATTTGAATTAACGTGAATCAATTTGAATTAACGTGAATTAATGTGAATTAATTTGAATTAACCTGAATTAATTTGAATTTTTGGTATACACCAAAAATGGTACTTGTTTCCCCTTAGGATATATGTCAGTCGCCATTTTGCTAAACTTCTAAAACTTTGCAGGATATTGTAGAGAATGAAGATATTAAATTGGATAACATGTTTATTGCTTCTCTAGTCCATGATCTCATTAAGGTAAGTGCCAATCGTGTGGACTGTGATTTATTATTTTAATCAGGGTATGCTGTATATACACAATTCAATGTTAATCGCGCATGGAAACTTGAAGTCTTCGAACTGTGTCGTGACGAGCAGATGGGTACTCCAAATAACCGATTTCGGACTGGCAGAAATTCGGCACTGCGCCGAAAACGAGAGCGTCGGCGAACATCAGTATTATAGAAGTAACTATGGCGGATTTCGCGCGATCGACAATGAATTTTAATAAAGTTTCATTCAGATCTGTTCTGGAAGGCGCCCGAGATCCTGCGTGACTTCCCGCGCTATTTGCGCGGAACGCAAAAGGGCGACATTTACGCGTTCGCGATCATTCTGTACGAGGTCATCGGACGACGCGGGCCCTTCGGAAATACGGCCTACGAACCGAAAGGTAATCGCCAACTGCGCATGCGCGCTCGCCTAACAGTCGTCCTTTCAGAAATCATAGATCTGGTGAAGAGGTATCCGATGGACGGCGAAGAACCGTTCAGGCCCGACTTTGAAATGCTATACGACTGTAAGATGGCGAATTTGGACTACGTAATTCAGTGCATGAGGGATTGTTGGTCGGAAAATCCGGAGCATAGGCCCGATTTCTCCACGATCAGGAGAAGGTTGAAGAGAATGAAGGAGGGAAAGTAAGCAGTCTTCATTGTGGTTTCAAAGTCTTGACATGTTTCCCTTTTAGGAACAAAAACATAATGGACCAAATGATGGATATGATGGTTAAGTATGCTAATCATTTAGAAGATTTGGTATCGGAACGTACAAGGTTATTGTACGAGGAAAAGAAGAAAACTGAGGATCTCCTGCATAGAATGTTACCTGAGTAAGTTACAGATGGTGGATTTACAGGCACTTATTTGTATAGCTTTGATGTATACTTGGAATTGCTAACGGATGCGCTCACGTTTGCTTCACGACAGGTATAAATTAGATGAAAACGAAAGTTTGAAAAATTGGTTTCAGTATCTTCAATAAGGTTGGGCCACAATTTTTAAAGTATAGCTGGTGGTTTTTTACGAATGAACACAAAATGTGATCGTTTCGATTGAATTTGTATTTCAGTTTTTGTGTTTTCCTTTTAGAAATTTGTGTAGATGCGTTATTTTCGTTTTAATTTTATCGCTTTTGTAAATTGTTCATTTAGATAGAGTGAAGGGAGTAAGACACATCTGGTCGAATTTTGCGTGATAAAAAAAGGTTATATCGGGTCGTTTGCGATTGGCTGTTTCATTGTTAGGCGAAATTTAATTAATGCACATACGGTTCTGGTAAGAAGATGGAGGTGTTTTACGAAAATGTGTGCGTTTTTCGGCGTAAGTGGGGCGCATTCTGTCGAAGCTGGCCATATTCGAGTCTACTGTGATAGGCGGATTAGTTTATGAAGCCTTGCAACAAGGTTTATGGTTCATTAAAAGTAAAAGCGTTCTACTCTGCAAAAAGCCAGCAAATTTTGACATTTAATTCAACAAGCCAATTATTTTTAGCTTCCTAGCATGAGCTATGGTAGCTATGATGATCGCCGTTTTTTTGGAAATGTCAAAATGTTCAAATGTTCCTTGACGTGCTCCGAAAATAGGAACTTTGAGTCAATTCTCAGTCTCAGGTACTTGATGGTACCTTCTGCCTTAAGCTTAGTATCGTTTAAATTTAGCTCTGATGGTCGAGAAAGGTTAGTGACGCTTCAGAACAGAAATGTGTTTTCTGCTATTTTTGATTATGGGTCTGGTCGAGGCCTACGATACTTATAATATACTTATAATATTATAATATAAGTATCGTAGGCCTCGGTCTGGTGCCTAGTAGGGTTTGGCATTTTTAATAATAATAATAATAATATTGCCTTTATTTGAGGAAATAGAAAAAAAAATAACCAAAGGACTTCCTAGCAAGGGCGAAGTTCAGTGCAGGAGAAAAAACCGCTGCCTGTTCTTACACTTTACTACTTTTAATGATCTTGTGTATCTCCTCCCAAGAGAAGCTGTCGTCTGGCTTCCCCAGTATGTTTGACTGCACCTCCTCCTCTATGCCTATACAGGGGTCTGTACACGAACTTATAAATGAAGATGGACTGCTAATGCTGAATTGACAAATGACACCTACATGGGGGCAGCCATGATGTGCACTCACTTGGGACGAAATTAAAATCAACTAATAAACAAGCATTAACCTCACGTTTTCTAAATACATTACTGTGACACATGTCATTTTCCAAGGCTGCAATAGTCTCAAAACTTGAGCACTAGGAAAAATTCCCTAGAAAATAACTGAAACGTGCACATCATGACGGCGCCCATGCTAGGGCCATTTTAAAGTCACTAGATATAGAAAGTACCGCAATCATCCGCCATTTTTGGGCAAATTTGCTGCCAACTTAAAAAAATTGAAAAATAAAATCTGAATAGCTGTCATTTTTCATAACCTAACTTCATAGTACTGTCATGTTTTATAAAAATATATACAGATATCTCCAAACAGGTGGAACAATCCCTAACATTAAAGTTACTAGAATCTGGTAACTTCCGCCATTTTTGGGCAAAAATCATGCGTTCTCTCTCTAACACACGAGCCCAATGGATTGCGGTACTTTGTATATTTAGTGACTTTAGATTCCAGATTGCAATTACGCCCCCTAGCGGCCATTTCTGAAACTTAAAAATATTTTCCAGGTTTTTCTCGTGGCCGTTTTAGTGAAAACGTTTTTTACTGCAAGCCTCTACGATGGACAGGTTCCTAGATACAGTACCTCGCATTCTTATTTGGCCACCCTGTACATTGTAACAAGTGGTCGTTTTGATTTTATAAATTTGCCAGTATAGGAAATTTGACGTATACCGCGTCATAGTGAAAGAGAACCGAACTAAAATGCAATAGAATGAGGTGCTTTCAGATAAGAAACGAGTGTGCAAGACCGTTCTTACGGGGCATGAGGAACGACTTTCTGCTCGGTTTGCGCTGGGTCCGTTTCGGATTTTTGAATTGGCTAGTATATTAGGACTCATTGTCGTGTGCGGCATTTTAGATAGAATTTAATAGAAGATTCTTCGTTGAACTTTTAATAATAATAGTTTATTGTCCAAACAGAATAGTTCCATAAACTAGGACAATATTAGGTAAGATATACATGTAGTGCGAATAATAAGGCGAACCTTTGTAAATCGAGCGCGTAACATTTATTTTTGTGTAAAAGTTTCAAGACAAGTTCGTATAATCGAGGGATACAGAAGATTACACAGCCGCGTTATCGTACGTGATTTTTTATTGCTAAAGTTGAAGTTAATCGCCCTGTAATCGGAAAACTGTGCCGTCAATTCGACGAAATTATTGTTATGTGAATTTAAATTCGTTGGGAGTTGCCATTACAACTTCGTTTGTGTAGCGGAATCGACTACTGGCTTATTTATTTTCAACCGTGAATATTGAGCGAATGCGTTGCCTTCTTAATACGCGTTTAAATCAATTTTACCACGAAAGCGTTGAGGTCAAGGGTACAGAACGTTCACAGCATTTTATTTATTTATTTGCGTTTAAGGAAATGCGGAATCTGAGATCAAATTTGAAACTGCTTCCTTTTGTATTGTAATCACGTGGGCGTAAGCTTTCTCCTTTCCAAGTATACATTTCTTTTTAAGTGTAAATACTAACAGACAGCATTTAATGAAATTTTTTATATTTTAAGTATAGTCAATTTTTTTTTTAAATTTTATTTATTTAATGCTTTTAAACAATTTGATTTGCAATATGGTAATGTTCTAACCTTTCGTTAAATTCATAAATGATAACAAATTGTGACAAGAAAAAAAAAATAACCTACTCGAAAATACTTTTAGATCTGTGGCTGAACGTCTAACGATGGGTTACGGTGTGGAGCCCGAATCTTTCGATTCGGTTACCATTTACTTTAGTGATATTGTCGGTTTTACCTCGATGTCGGCCGAAAGTTCTCCATTACAGGTACCGCTAACATTCTTTACGTTGCGCTCACTTTTAGATTGCAGGTTGTGAATTTTTTAAACGATTTATATACCGTTTTTGATCGCATTATTAAAGGGTACGATGTCTATAAAGTAGAAACGATTGGAGACGCTTACATGGTGGTACGTAGCGGTATTTGTAACAAGTTTTTTTGTTTAGTTCTCACATTAAGGTTTCTGGGCTTCCAATTCGAAACGGAGATATGCATGCCGGCGAAATTGCCTCTATGGCGTTAGATCTTCTTTCTGCGATCAAAAATCACGCTATACCTCATAGGCCAAAGGATATGTTGCAACTGAGAATTGGAATTCATACAGGTAACTATCCCCTGCCTACTAGATAAAAAGGGATTTTATATCTGGTCGTTTAGGTATGGTCGTCGCCGGCGTTGTCGGGTTAACGATGCCAAGGTACTGCCTCTTCGGGGACACGGTCAACACGGCATCGCGAATGGAAAGCAACGGCGAACCCCTAAAAATCCACATCAGTCCGCAGTGCAAAACTGCGCTGGATAAGCTGGGGGGATACGTAACGGAGGAGAGGGGCATCGTGAATATGAAAGGTAAGGGCGCGGTGAAGACCTACTGGCTGCTGAGCGCGACGGAGAAGGCGATTCAGAGGCGAGAGGTGGATCTCGGCGAGTTACCTCCGTTATTTTGCCGGCCGCGGCGAAGTCCGAAGTTGAATAACGACTCGCGACAGGCGTCGGTCTGCGGAAATATGGGCGTGTTTAGTGGATTAAATAGTCGAAGACATTCCAGTGTGCCTAGAGGTGAGTTACGCCGTTTTCGTAGGCTTCATTAACTTGGGCTCGATGGGAAAAATTTTCATCTTCTTTTTTTAGCGTAGGTTTCTGCCCGGAAGATATTATCTTGCGCACTTCATTTGTAAAACAAAAAGTACCGGATAGGGGGGGGGGGGGATTACTCTTCATTTGTAAGAGTAAAGGGTCAGTTGGGGGGGGGGGGGCTATATCTTTTGAACTTCTACCAAAGTTTTGTTCTAGATATGTGTTAATTTGTATTGTGAAAAAATTCAACATGTGATTTTCCATGTTACTTCATTTTACAAGAGGTTATAAGTCTAAGATCCCACATAAGGTCGAAATTCGTCCATCTGTTTTTGCAAATGAGTTGCCTGAAAAACTAAGCCAAGACTACCCTTCACTAAAATTAATGTAAGTAATATTTCTGTCTGCTTCTATCACATTGAGAGAGATCATCCTTCTCCTTTATACAGAACAGTACAGTTGTCACAATTTTAAGTAGCGCGCGCGAGAGAAACATGTATTATTCCGTGTGAAAGAGAATGACGCGCCGAAACAGTTAATCGTGAGAGAGTGCGCATGCGCTCTCACCATGTGATAGAGGCAGACAGTAATATTAGGTAATTACATTAATTTTAATTATGCGTACTCTTGACTTAATTTTTTTAGGCAAACTGGTGATGCATACATGCGCAATAAAATATTTGATTGACAATCATAGAAATCATAGACTTTTTTAGGATCTTCCGGTAAACGCTCTTACAGTAAATGAAATTCACATTCAGAAAGGCGCGCCTTATAAATTTTGTGCATCCAGCATGTCCATTTCTTTCCTTGTTTAGTTTCTTGTTTAACTTCTACCACCAAGAAAGCATTCCATCACTAGGTGAAACCATGTTTTAAAAAACTGAACTGAATCAAGCCGCTTGTTCCCTCACCAATTTGTCGCATCGCGCTGTACTGTTTATATGAGAATTGAACCTCACAATCTATGTAGCTACGCGTCACTTGTGTGAGAATGGACCTTTTATGCGCCTATGCACTGAAATACAATTTCTGAATATAATCTAGATTGCCCAGATTTATTGAAAAGAAAGAGGAGATTTATATATATTTGTTCTTTTCATCTCCTTACATCAAGCGTGCGTTATTAGTATCAAAAACAAGTCAAATTTTCACAAAGTGACACTGAATTTTTAATCAAAAATATTGACAATATGTTTAACTTGGAGAATCGAAATATTAATCATGCTTGGCTGTGGCATTTCTGTTTAAGAAACAAATAATTTTCCTGCCACGCTTTTTTGGAGCATCCTGTATGTACGTACTTACATTTTGTGTCTAAATATATGCGCAATACAAAAATAAAATCGACGGGGCCGAACGTATTTTCGAACATACACATACACAACCTTGTATACAGGGTCTCTATTAAAAGTGGACCCAAAGTTTTCATGCTCAAACCGTCTGAGAAATGATAACGTTTCTATTATTTTATATATTTTGAGATTTCAAAAAATTTTGTTTTGACACATGGTTTTTGATTACGACCGCCATCTTGAATTCTTTTAAATGCAACGACGGTCGTATACACAAGTCTGGAAACCCTGTCGTTTGAGACGAGTCTTACGTGTCTTCAGTCCCTCGCTCAGCTACCAGGTGGCGCATGGATCGAAGTATGTTGTCAGGATTAGGCGCCATATCGTATAGCCAAAGCGCAGACTTGAACGCCGACTTACGGGTTAGAATTTCGGCGCGCGCGCATTTTTTTTTACTATACGTTCATTAAATTTATGCGACAACTTTTTGAATTACTTATTTTAATTAAAAGAAACGATGATGGTTATAATGTCACAATGGCAAAGGTACTACCGAAGACTTAATTCATACAAATAGATAGGCGGCTTAGTTGTAGGCGAAAATTAGAGGTGACGGGTAAGGTCAAACGTCGAAGGTTTTTTCATTATAGTTTTTTGAGGCCACCTTCTGAATATAGCTACATTCAATGGAGAAAATTTGCCTCGAATGCATCCGCTTTTTCATTTCCGAACTTTAAAAAAGGAAGTTTTTTTGTTTTTAACACTTTATTTTTTTACTGTTTTTTAAACATGTCATTTCAAAATTTTGAAAAATATGATAAAATATATATATAGAAAAAATATAGATTGTGATACATCAATTGACGTTAAAATATACAGGGTGTTGCATTTAAGAAATAGCAATATTTTTACGTAAAAATATCTAAAATAGGCAGTTTTTACCTTTTTTTCTATCGTATATGAGTAGATATTGATTTCACACTTCATATACCTATATGGTAGTGCATATATACTATACTATATGTACATATATGAAAAATGTGCATTATGAAAGTAAATATAAATATATAAGATATGATAACATCTCAAAAAGGCAAACTTTTCGTTTTCACCCTGTATCTCAGAAACAAATGCCTCCTGAGAAGTGGCTCTTATACTTGAATGTCCTTAATAATTAATTTATATACAGGGTGTCCCATTATTTTGAGATAGTCGATTATTTCAGAAACTAGCAGGGATATCAAACAATGATTTACATAAAATGTTCTTAATATGGAGGGGCCCATTAAATGATGCTATGCACGTTTTCACATAACTGTCCCTTAAGCGTCAAGCGTAATACAACTTAAATTTTTCAAATCATTCTCTTATTCTACATCAGAAAATAATAAACTTTCGGGGGGACGTTTTTTCCCTTCACTTACTATTTTTTGAACACATTTCCAAAAGCGCCATTTTTGATTTGAGCTAGGAAGCTGTTCTATTGAGAATTTGGCACATTTTTCAATTAAAGATATAATAGTCAAGTTAATGGAGCCGCTTTTGTTCCAGTTTAAGTAATCGCCTTTCATTTAGGAACCAGCATGGAAGTTGAGAGCAGTTCGACCGTTCACAATAATAGTCCTTTGCCCTCTCGTCATCTACTAAACAAACTGGCAAAGCACATTTTGCAGGTACCGTCGACGACGTCGGTCAACTCGGCGTTTGGGCCTGAGTGCGACGATCAGGAACCAAAGAAAGCGGCGCGCCCCCGTCGAATTCTATCGAGCATCGCGTCCAGCTCGGACGATCACAAAAGTCTGACGATGTTAAATAAAATCCGCGAATCGAAGTCCCTCGATTCGTTGCCGGTAGTCAAACCGCACGAGCGCGCGATATCCCAGCAGCTTCTCCAACTGTTAAAGCCGAACACCCGCTCCTTGGAAAACTGCGACAAGTGCGGCAATTTCAAGATCATCGCCATTCCCGACGATAAACTCGTGAACAACAATTTTCCAAACGGTAACATTGTAAACATGAAACCGGACGATCGCCGCGCCAAAGACGACGTAGAGGAACCTCTGCTTCAGCACACCGCACCGAGCATCATCCATCGTAGGAAAATCGGAAACGGCACCGACGAAGACAACGAATACACTTCGAAGAAGTGGAAGTCCTTGGAGACGGTGCCCGGTTCTGAGGATTATTCCGTAATAAATAATAAAAATTTAACTCCGCGCCCCTCGATTCGCAGCTGGATCGTCGGTTTATTTAACGGAAATAGGATAAGGTCAAGTGATAGTTCGTTAAGGAAAGCTGTTTTACCCGAGTATAATAATTTACAAATGGAAAAGGAGAGTATTGTTTAAAGAGTTCTTGTAGAATTTATTTTATACAATAAGTTTACGTTGCATTACAAATTAGTGCCGGTATTTATTATGTTTTAACTGAATGCAGTGATTTGGCTATTAATTAGATGTTATAGATTTAATTCAGGTCAGTGATTTATTATTTGGATGGCTGTGATTATATCTCCATATGTATGTAAATATTATATATTATAAATATTATACTTATAGTATATTTCTTGTGCCATTAATTTATATGTTAGAGAAAATGTATGAAGCGTAAAATGCTTACGTAGCATCATCACAACGATCTGGGGGACTATCTGAAAGGGGGGTAGTCGTTAAACCAAAAATTAAAAAAAAAAACCATTAAGGACTATGGAGTTGGAAAATTAATTTTATGCAATAGAAAATGCAATATCTGTAACAAATAAGCAATTATAATTTATTTCTTTATATTTTGCTCATTTTATTTTTTTGACTTTATAAAACAAGTAGGCAACTAAGCATCTGCACACGACTTACTTCATTTTCATCATCAACACTATCAGTCTTGCAATTTATTATTATCATACCCTCATATTTGAGTTTTGGGGCGCCACCTTTCGGTGGAAAGTTGAAATAAAATAAAATTTGACAAAAAATTTACTTCAATAAGATATTAGTACATACTACGTAATTAAATGGTGATCAATGTTTACGTTTCCAAGCTCCTCTCTCTTCTTTGAGTGAAGGCCCAACTTGTTAATGAGTAAGGATTTTTGCTTCTGTCTCTGATTGGCCCTCCACTAAACAAGTATAGCTTCCATGTCTGCCGCAAATTGACGAGAGTCTGGGAAATGAGTACTCTAAGGGTGCGCTATGGGGCTGTTGCTGGGGCGTACTGATGCCTTTGCAGAATTCTCCCAAATTTTTTCTTTCAGACCTCAGTGGTTGTAGTGGGCCAAAGTGGACCAATACGCATCTAATGAGTCCCCCTCGCTTCTACCTTATTGTTTTATATACTTTTTCAAATTCTCCATTCTACCAGAGCACACTTCCTGTTTTTTTTTTGGCAACAGCTGGCTTAACATGCTCCATGTATGAATTTGTGTACGTCGGAGAGAGGTATTTCTAGGTCCTTTGTGTTTCCATACTGGTGGATTGCATCAACTTTAGATTTAATATGCACTTCGTACATATTGTCTTTTTTAGACCTTCCCGGCCCCTGGGTAGAAGTTTTGGAGCCACTGCCTTTGTAAGTAGCTGTCTTCGTTGGGACTGTCCCTTTGGCCTTCTTCCGCCTTCTTGAGACATGGGCGGCTCCTCCCGCCAAAGGGTTTCAACGACTCCAAAGATCTTGGAGAGGATTTGAGAGCTTTTAATTGGCCCTAATTTAAAAGCCCCTTGAGGGCGTTCAATACGCTTGCAGCTGCCTTAAAAAACCTTTGAGAGCCATATTAAGGGTCGTAAACATTTTTTAAGACCATCATCCTCGCTTAGGACTCTAGAAGACTGTAGAAAACTTTAGGCAACCTTGGACGCTCTCATAGGATTTAATGGCAAACTTTTCAAGAAATTTTATTAGTTTTTAAGAAGGCTAAACATTCATGTTCCTTGATATTTTCTGTTTCTGTTTACTGCAGAAACGATGCATTGAAATTCTACAAGCTGAAGTGACGTTATGGATAAACCCTTTATTTTTTTAAATTGAAACCGTAGTTGCTTATTGATCTAACGTTATACAACTACATATAATTATTTATTTAACAATTTTTTCCGTTGACTACGGCTCTGGTGAAACTGCTCTCCCACCAGATAAAAACAGGTCAGTGCGCCACTGCACCATGCGTAATTTTTTTAACCTAACCTAACTTTTTTGTATAGTTAATGATTGTAATTTTAAAAATTCAATGTCTTTTATTACTAAAGCTATAGTGAATTCGTTACATGGTAAAGTGGTTTATTTGCAAAGGATACAGACCTACGCAAGATGGTCACATAGACGACCTCGAAAGGTTTTTTCCGAGGATGGTGAACTTCTGCAATCAACTGCTACTGTTGAGACACCCTTAGTAAGTCCACCTCCGCCTCGTTCCACGCCTGAGACCCCAGAGCCTGCACAGCCAGAAATTCAGGAAGTAAAACAGAAACGACGAAAACCCAAATACAGTCATGCAGTTAGCAACTCTCGAATCACCGGTCTGCTGGAGACTATCATTGACGATGACGGTAACCTCGTCTATACAAAATTAAAAGATAACAATTCCGCTATCAGGTATGTTCTCGCATTAATTCCGTTTGTGTAAACCTAATTTTACAGTCAGTTACTCTTAACGGTGAAATCACGTAGGGACCAAATCAAGAAAGATTTGGCCCTACTGGAGGGAAAGCGTCTAATTAAGGAGGCGTTGGAAGCGAAGTGCACGTTAAAAAGTTTATTGTTCAGCAGAAAGAGCGACGTCGAATATCTGAAACCCTATCTACCGAAAAGCGGCGCGAAAGTGTTTAAAATTCCCTACCGTGAAATACAGTTATGGTCGGACCTTACCACGGCACCCGGCCTTATGGGTAAGACTTTTAGCTGAGCTCTCGCAAACGTTTTTTTAGGAATTTTTAGAACTCCCGACGTTTCAAAGTACGGCGCGACCGACTCGCTGCCAATAACTGTGATCTGTGATAACATTCGTGAGCCGGGCAATTTAGGAGCGATCCTTCGGACGGTTGCGGGAGTTGGTGTGGAAAAAGTTCTTCTAACGAGCGGTAAGTGATTGGCATTATTCGAGGGGTGTGTAATGTTTCGGTTTTAGGGTGCGTCGACTTGTGGGACACCAAAGTGTTACGTAGTGCGTGTGGTGCACATTTTCATGTCCAAATTCATAGGAAGCTCGATTGGGCGGAAATTTTAAACATAGTTCATGAGATGCAAAGTGTCGTCTTTCTGGCAGACAATAAGATTGTTTCACAAACTGAGGGGCAAGATGAGGGTGTGCCAAAAGCACGAAGCTTAGAGGAGATTGTCGCTCATATGCAATTATTACCTTATTATAGTGTACAGTTTGCAAATTTTCAATCTGTTGCTTTAATAATCGGCGGTGAAACACATGGACTTAGTGAGGAGTCTTTTCGATTGGCTGACAGTGTTAACGGAGTGCGATTGCACATTCCTTTGAGCAACAATATTGATAGCTTAAATGCAGGTACTGCTTTAGGGGTTATTTTGTTTGAAATCAAGAAACAATTGCTGCTTGCAAAGGCTGTGCAGCAGCAAATAAAAAATTGATCTTATCTGACTTTTATTTTGAAAAATATTACAAAACTTTAAAACAAATACAACTGGTATAAGTAGTCTTTTGCTACTATACGAGTTTTATTCACAATAAATGACAAAGTGTTTGTCATTCTGCAAGGCAGTGGCCTAACCTATCACGAAAAGCTTGAGAAACACAAAAAATTCAATTGTTTTTCGTTGCCCATTTGTTTTTTGAAATAAAAACAACTGAATGCTGCCTTATTATGGAAAATAAACTATTAATCACTTTTATATAGAAAAATTTGGTAGTAATTATTTAGCAAAATATAAAGTGTTCCTATGTCTACTTTTAAATGACAAAATCCTTCTGAATTTTATGCAACCAAAATAACTCATGCACACGCATTCCTCACGGTCATTCTGGATTTTACAAGAATTGCATTAGTGACGGTATGATAATGGCAAAAGTTTACCGCACCTCCCTAAAAGAATTCGTATCTTTCTGTCAATAGCCTTGCTTTTTAAATAGTTTGGTTGGTAGGTGGGTACTTAAAAAATCGACACTAAAGAGTAGTATGCTTTTAGATTATGATGATCCGCTATTTCCTTTAAGTTTTTCATGGGGTTCTCTTCCACAAAAATTAAAATGTTCAGATTTTGTCATTTAAAAGTAGACACAGCGAAAAACAGTACACACGAATCCCTATATCTACTTCTAAATGAATATCACTATATCCTATATTCCATACATAGTGGGCATCGTGTATATCATACCCACGTAATTGCTAGTATTTCTGAATTAATCTTTTGATGCCTTAATATGCGGACTGCATACTCATTATGAAATTTTAGAACAATATTTTTTTAAATATTTTTAGTATTTAATACTTTAAAGTATTTAAATATTTGGTATTTACTTTTCTTAATATTGTATTTGAAAGCGCAATTATTTTTAAAGGTATTTAGTATTTAAATACTTCTGGAAAGTATTTAAATATATTTAAATACTTTTGGAAGGTATTTAAATGCTCTTGACGGATATTATGAATATTTTTTGAAGAATTCAAATACAAAGTAAACAAAAATTGAGTCATCCGACTCGAAAAACTTAGATAAGTAAACAGGCGTAAATTTATTAGATACTTGAATATGATCGAATTAAAATAAAGTTGTTTCAGATATAAAGATGCGTGCGGTCCAACGTAGTACTACATATTTATCTTCTTTGACGCCTTTAAAAATGTTTACATTCAAAAACCGTCGCTTTGCTTATTTATTTATGGATACCTACCTACTCCAAAAGCAATATTGCTATATGCATATCAGTAATATAACATGGCAATAGACATGTTTCATTCATTGCATTTTATGTTCATATTGTAACGGAAACGCTCCAGACATGACGTCGCCTTTGGCGCTCTGGAATTTTCTAGGCGCGCGATAGTGGGAATGTTTGCACCGTATCTGGTAATTACGCGAATGTTCTGGACTTACATTGCTTGCGTGTATAAATGGTTGCGGACCGAACATCGCGGCAGTTTTACTACCGAACGAGATCGAGTACGTATGAAACATCGAGCGCGGAAATATAAATTGCGAAGTGTGTGATATAAATAGTGGATATAAATTGTACAGTTTGTATAGTGTTTTAGTTTTGTTTAATAAATATTGATATAAATCGAATCCGAATTTATAAATCACGTTACAATATACTGATATACAGGAAAGACGGTATGCTCATTTGCAATTATAATTTTTACAATTTCGCAACGTCTCCTGGCATAACCCACACAAATACTACAGCAACAAAATGCAAAAGAAAATACACAAATAAAACATACAAAGACACATTAAAACACATGTATGATCAATTGAGAAAAAAGAACTCATAAAGTGATAAATTGCATGTACATCAGGGTGAGTCAACGATTAAGCGGAGTAAGTTAATGCTTTGAAGATAAGATTCTTTGATAGAGTGCTTTTGTATTATGATATGGTTGAATATTTTCCACATTTTAAAAATATTTGGAATTATACAGGGTGATGGTACATTTTTTTAAATAGAACCCCCTGTATTTGAATGCATTTTTGAATTCTACGTGTAATTGTACGTCTTTTTTATTATATGGTTAATATCCGAAAAACTAGTAGTTTTAAAGATAATTCGATTTATAAGAAAAATTGGGCATTTGCAAGCGTCAGTATATATTGTCAAAATTATTACTTAAATTTTGATCCCAGGTTTTATATCTTTTATCCTGGGTTAAGTAAAAGTCAAATAAATAACTATGAAACATTAAAAATATAGCTTACAGGGTGTTTTTTTTTGGTAGGTCCAAAGTTGCAAAACTTCATATTAAAAATCTCACTTTTTTTAAATGGAACACCCTGTATATTTTTTGTCATCATTTAGCTCCTCCAAAAACCTTCAACTTTTGATAATAATGTCCTATACCTCTGATAGTTTTCGAAATATCTTGGTTCCTGGTTTTTATATTCTAATCTTAAATAAGTTATATGTAATTTACATAATAGTGAGGTGGCCATGCACAAAAAAGGCAATTTTTATTTATCTCGTCCAAAACGACGATCATATAGATTAAATTATTTTTCAAACAATTTATTTTAAGTCCAAAAACTGGAGAATAAGTAAAAACATTTGACTACAAAGCAAATTTAATTTAACTCCAGTCAGTGATACCATGCAATCAAAAATGAGTTGCTGTCTAGTCACCTTTGGAATTTTTGTTTACATGGAAAATCTTATTTAACTTGAACTTCCAAAGGCGACTCGACAGCAACTCATTTTTGATCGCCCGTTTTTAGTTTCATTTTTTTTCATATTCACTTCGTTATTATGTAAATTAGAACTTATTTCAGATTAAAATATAAAAAGTAGAAAAAACCAAGATATTTGTTTATATTTTTACTATCAAATTTAATCTCCAGTTTTTATAGACTTAAACTTTCTCGTATAGCTTACGCGCCGTCCGGAAGCGAGTCACGAGTAAGAGGGCAACATATGCAGCGAATCATCGGACTAGATCAGGTACTCCCTTCGCGGACTCATACAAAGAACCAGCAAATTAGTGAATCCCCCTACAAGATACAAGAGCTATAGCCCGCAGGAGATGAGCAAGCAACACATACAGTAAAAAATTGGGCTGTATGAGGTTCTTACTCCACGGAATAGTTAAATTGAAACATACAGAGCGACAGCACACTGGTAATAATCTTCTTCCTGAATACATAAATAGATACTGTAATAGTTATTTGTACAACTAGTTTTGAAAGTGATACTCTTTTTCATGAATTTGCAGTTTGATTAATGAGGGCGAATAACCCACAATTGAATGATTTGATTGACATTCACGATTTACTGTCACTCAAAAGATAAAACAAACACGATTTTGAGAACGGTACATAAACAACAGTTTGAAGTACACCACGGTTCTATAACAGTATTTTATGCAAAATGTAAATAATAATAACAAATATATGACATGAAATTCCATTATTAATAGTTGAAACTTAAAAATATAATTACTCAAATCTAGCTCCGCTTTCGAATACCGCTAAATGATGCCTGATCTTCTCCCCAAGCAAGTCATAGACAATCCCCTGCGCAGAACAGTCGAAATCGAAAATGTAGCAAGATTGGTTTCAGATGAAAAGGTGTGTTGCCTATCAGTAGGGGTAGGTTACCACATATTCTTAAGGTTCTTGACCATTTTTCAATATTTTTAAGCAAGCATTTTTTAAGGATTAAAAAAATGCGCTATTAATAGTTTGTGTTTTGTCGGTCTGTCCGTCCGGACCCACTTATGCGGCTTTGAACTATTTTTAGGGGAATGGTCCTAGATTCCTGGAATGTTTTGCAATATGTAGCCTCTTGAAGGTGTAATAATAACTTTTACATGCGACCAATTGGTTTCAGAATTTACACACTCATGCCTTAGTAGTGCCAAGTAAAATGGGGTGGGGGGGGGGGGGGTCTACCCTTCATGGAATTCTAATGAAAGGTCTCCCCGAAATGAATTGAATTGACCTATAACTTTCCTGCGCTCAGATCAGTAGGAACTGTTTTCTACCAACTACCGCCCTACTTTCTGACCCCTTACCAAAAGAGGGGGTTTGGGGGTAGGGGGTGGAACTGGTCCGTCATGGTACTCTAATGAAAGGTCTCAACGCAAGGAATTAATATCTACCAACCACAGCCTCCTCCTCGACCCCTTATGGTGATTGGATATAAATTATTCCTTATCTCAGGAACTGTCATCTATTGGCGAGGTCTCCCCATTAATCATCTAACAAGAAAAAAAGCATGCTACTGACTAACGCAACCATTTACTGCTATTTCGGTTTAAAAAAATGCGCTTTATGTGCACAAGAGTTTTAGGTTGGTATTAGCAAAATTTCACGTGAAAGTGAAATAGAATTGCAGCAAGTAAAGCACATCTGCTACTTCCAAAAATTCCAGAAAGTTATTTCACTTTCGATTTAAATGAAATAACTTTCAGTATGTTAAACGGGCTTTACACATGTTTATTGTACTATAAGGGAATCGGTTTTCTCAGCGCAGGGGTTGGGGAAGGGGGGGTGCTGTCTTAAAATTGATGGCAGAAACAAATTGTACTTATCTATCATACTTAACAAGTCTTTATTGATGGTGGAGTCGAATCCACAATGCTCGGACTGGCGGGGGGTAATACTATGAAAATAAAGGAAACTAATAAACGACAAAAAGTCTGATCGAAAAAGTACGAATTGTTGTGGATTCTACGCACCAAAATTAATAAGAAAAAGTGTTTTCCCGAGAAATTTTGGTGCAGTCGATTTTTGGTAAAAAAGGAAGGTTATACACTGCCTTTTTTTGAGCCCGAAAAAAAAAATTGTCTCAGATCGACCCGAAAAAAAAATTTTCTTATAGAATGTGGCCTGTAGAATCCATAATTTCAAACAGTTCCAAGATTGGGCTACTAGTTCAAAAGTTACAGCCCTTTGAATTTTCTTTCGAAATTATTTTCTAGTCTAT